CACGTGTGCTGAAAGAACGTGTGGGTATTTCCTAGAGCAAGCCTCTGAGCTGGCTGTGGCCAACAGGAGCAAGAGGAGCCTCTGGGAGGCTAACAGTGAAATTAATTGTAATCATGTTTATTTAACTCCTTATATCCCAAATGCTATTTCAACTTGTAATTCATACAATAATTCCCAATGAGAAATTTTGCATGCTTTACCCAGCCTTCTAAAGCTGGCGAGCATCCTGCACTTACTACACTACCACTGGGCAGTTTGGACCTGCCATGTCTCACATGACCAGCAGCCACACGTGGCCGTCCCTCCTGGACAGAATGACCCTGGTTTAGCTAGACTCTGTGCTTTCATTTCTTGAAGCCACCAAGTGTCCTTTCGAACATGCCTTCATTCACAGAATGTTCACAAAATGATTGTGGGCTCGTGTGCTATTTTCAACGTCAGTTCTGTTTGTGTATTTAAAAGAAAATAAAATGATTTAATAGGGAGTTAAAACGACATGGAGAGAGAGCCTTCTAACCCTACCGGTGGGAGGGTGGGGTGGGTTATCTCCCTTTCTGGGGAGTGTGAACTGGAAAGGCCTGATCCCTAGTCGCTGGGGGCCTGAGATAATGACTTAATTAACGCCCGCACTGGACAGTTTTGATCTTCAAGGAGTCCAGCCCACGGCTGGGGTTGCTTTTGGATTAATTGCCTAGAAGGAAGAAAGCCTTGCCCAGAGATAAAGGGGAACATGGGGTTTCGTCATTACAAATTGTTCTGAAATCTGCTCTGGCACGGGGGACAGAGGCCTGGATTCGGGTGCCCAGCTGGCCCTCCTACCCCCACCCCAGGGGCAGGCAGGTGGCCAGGAGTGTCCTTACCCAGGGCACCCCAGTGCAGCTTTTCCTGGGTGGGTGGGTGGGATGAAGTCTTCCTGACAGAGGACACAGCTGTGCGTTGTGAGGGCTGTGGGCCTTCCATGTTTCAGAGGAGGGAACGGATACCCAGGGCAGTCTAGGGACAAATCTCATCAAGGCCAAGGTCAAGGGGCAGAGAGCAGAGGGAATTGGGATGGGGGGCAGTGTTGGCTGCTACGTGGTTCCCGAGTGTCCACAGCGTCATTTCTGTTCCTGCCTGTCAACTCCAGGTATAAATGCCCATAAGAATTGAGGATCCTATCTATTCATCGAGGTTGCAGAGGTACCCTGGGGTGCTGAGCCCCGCTGCTCGGGACTCGGTAATATGAGAGGCAGCAAGTCTGCGCTTAGCGTTGATATGGGAGTGTCCATGAAATTATACAAGAAAGGAGCTTAGCACCTGGTGCAATCGAAGTCGCAGTAAATGTCAGCCATTACTACTACTACTAAATTACAACGACAGCAATAGCTGCGCGCCCACTGGTGCCAAGCCCGGGACGGCCCCGGACGCGCAGCCTCAGTGGGTACAAGGGAGAAGGGTTGGGCTCGGCGACAGTCTCTTACCTCTGCAGCTCCCTACCCTGAGAAATGGCCAAGGCTCTTCCCGCCCTCCCTGGGTGCCGGGGTCGGTGCCGGGGAGGGCGGGAGGGAACCAGTCACTGGCAGACGTCCGGCCACCCGCCCCGACTGCGCGACAGGCCCCCTCGCTCGGCCTATTTGGGTCACCTGACTTACGGTAATTATGGACCCGCGTGCACGTCGGGGCGCGCCAGGAGAGGCAGGAAGCACCGGCTCCGGGGGCGACCGGACATTACAGGCCGCCAGGTGCACCGCGCCTCCCACCAGCAGCTCCCCGCACCCCTTCCGGGAGCTCCCCGCAGCGCCGCCACTTCCACCAGGGGCCCCGGGCACACCTTGGGGCGCCCACGGCCTCCCAGACGCGCGCCGCAGCCCGGGGTGGGAGTGTTTCGTGGGAGGCGCTCGGGGCGCGTCTCCATCCCGCACAAAGCCAGCTACCCCGGGTCCGCGACTCGGTCTCCCGGGCCTGGGCGTGGACGCTCCGCGGAGCCCTGAGCGCAGTGCCCACGCGCTCGGGCCACGGCCGCCCACGCCTCCTCCGTCGCGGGAGTATATTTAGCTTCATTATCAAATGTTTGCAGTGAACTGTGTGAACCGACTAATAGCGGCTGGAAGTGAAACTCGATTCCCAGCCACAAAGAAGCATGTGACCGCCCCCATCGCAAGGATCGCGCAGGGCGGGCGGGCAGGTGCTGCAGCCTCGGCGCGCAAAACCGGCCGGCAGGGCTCGGGTCGCACCTTCCCCTCCTGGGCCCGGCACCCGAAACCCACCTCCTCCCTCCGCCCCCCCTCCCGGGGCTGAAATGAGGACGCTGGGAGTGTGAATGGAAACGAAGGCAGGGGAGGGGGTTCCACGTGGGCGTGGGTTTCATCCAAGCCAGTGACCTCTTGGTTAAGTCAGTCCTGCGATTTCAACGCCCAGCCCCCGAAAAAAGCCTGTGGGGGTCCATGTCTCCTTGTTTTTTTCTGGGGACCCGGCGGAGAATGGGGCGGGACTGATAGGGGGTCCCTGTCCCACGCCGTGTGGGCCGCGGGGCTCTGGGGCGCGCGGTGCCCCAAGTCTCCCCCGAAGGCGGCTGTCGCGCGGCTGCACAAGTTTTCGCCTCCCTCGCAAGGCCGCTGTTGTTGTGGTCACCATGGCGACGGGTCGCGGTTTTATTTTTAATAGCGGCCAGCGATTAGAGAGATGCCTGCACCGCTTTCGCCTAAGCTCTGCGTCCCGCGGGTGATGCACCCACGCCCCACCCCAGCCCCCGCCTCGCTCCAGCGCCCCTTCCACGTCCTCAGGTGGCCCTAAACTCGAGCTGTGCACACCCGTAGCTCCAGGCCGGGCAGGGGAGCTGAGGGAAGCACCCATCTAGGCCCCCAAGAGGCGGCGAGAACCACCAGGACCCCGCCAGCTGGGACGGGTCCTCCATCCCCAGTACAACGCGACCTTCCTCCTTGCTTTCCACACCGTCACCCGAGTCTTTTAACCCCAAAAAGTGTTCTCAGTCCCCCTCTGCCCGCGAGAGGTCCGAAACCTGGCAGGACAGGGTGCGTGCGACTCCGGAATAACTGAAGGTGGAATGAGGCCGGGTCTGGCTCCTCCCAGAAGCCATCCAGTGGGTGTCCCCTCCCGAGCCGCACAAGTTCCCCCTGGAGGGACGACACCTGGCTTTCAGGTGCTTCTCAACGTGTCCAAGGTTCCCTTTTTTCTGTCCAGGTCCCGCTTGGTCCTGACCACCCAGAGGGGGCCGCGGGCTGGGGCTGCAGCCAGGGGGAGGGAGAAACCTGGGGAGGGGGCCTGCAGGTGTGTGGAAGGGCGCAAGTAGACGAGACTCACTGGGAGCAGTGGGAGAGGCCCCGCCTGCCACAAATTTGGGGGAAGGCGAGCGCCCCCGAAGCGCCCTCCGGACCCGGCCTTTGAAATGCTAGAACCCAAGGAGCTGGGGATGAAAGACCGCCCGCGGGACTGCGCCTTAACCGCCTTTGTCTGGAGGAAGGGCAGCCGCGGCAGGGGAGGGGGCTTAATCCACGGGATTGGGGGTGACGGCTGGGGCGGGCGTAATTCTCCTCGGCTGCCCACCCACGGGAGCCTTTCCTAGTCTCCAGAGGCCTAGGCCGTCTAGCTTGAGGGTCTGCACTGCACGCTCCCCCCGTCCCCCGTCTCCGCGCTGAACCCGGTACCAGGGCGCGTAGACCTCCCCAGCAGGGCACTGACGGACATCTAGACGCGGAGTTCGGGTCCAATCCCACCTGGTCTAGGGAGGCGAAATCATCCCGCCCGGGCGCACCCACCCTTTTTCGGAGTGGGAGCCGTCTAGCCACGCTCAGACCGCGGCCTCTGCGCGCGTTCCTCCCCCGCATAGCGCTCGGAGCTGCGCCTCGGCCAGAGGTGGCGCTCTGCGCGTCCCGCGGATCCCGACGCGGGAGGCTCAGAACCCGGGGACCCTCACCGGTGGCTCCTTTTTATTCCACCCCCTCGACTTCCCAGCTCAGAGCGTGGCCCTGCCTTCGGCGCGGGAGTAGGGGTCTGGGGGGCGCGGGGTCCCACGGTGGGGACGAGACGGGCTGCAGCCCCTTCCCCCGACCTGGGCTCGTTCCCAAGTGGAAATGTGGGTGGAGGGTCCTCATTCAGATGCCCCGGGCTTCGGATCCTGGGCGGGGGCGCGTGGCGGCCGCCAGGTGAGTGTCCCAAACCCGTCCCCGCCTTCCCCAACGACTGACTCCCCCTCCTTTTATGGAGAGGGGAAGGCTGGGGCCCTGGATCCCAACAGTGGAGAGCGGCCGGAGCGGAGGCGGGGGCCGGCTCTCTCGCCCTTTTTGGCGCAGCAGCTCTGGGCGCTGCCCGCTGCCGCCGCTGGGGCCCGAGAGAGGCGAGCCGGCGACGGCGGCGCTTCTGCGGCGGCCTCCTCCCTCCCCACCCGGTGCCGCAGGATTGCAGCTGGCACTGGAGGGTGGGCAAGCTCGAGGGAGGGGCGCGGAGCCCCGGCGCGGAGCCGGGCGCGGGGCTTTGATGGATTTAGCTGCCTGCGCGAGCGCGTGTGTGCTCCTTGCCGCGGCGGCGGCGTCCGGGCCCTGCCGGGTCCGCATGAACCCCGCGTGCTTCCGAGGTGCGGGTCCGGGGCCCGGAATCCGGGGGAGGCGGAGGGGGGGGCGGGGGCGGGGGCGGGGGAGGGGCGCGGCGGCGGCGCTATAACCCTCTCCTCGCCGCCGGCCGGCTCCACACGCGCGCCTTGCGGAGCCCGCCCAACTCCGGCGAGCCGGGCCTGCCTGCGTCTCCTCCTCCTCCTTCTCTCCCGGCGGCTGCGGCGGCGGAGGCGCCGACTGGGCCCTGCGCCCGCCCTCAGGCCCGCGCGGGCTGCGCAGCGAGGTCCCGTACGGGTGGCGGCTGCCAGGCAGCTCGGCCGCGGGCGCTGCCCGGCCCTGGCGGGCGGAGGGCGGAGCGCGGCGCCGGAGCCGAGGGCGCGCCGCGGAGGGGCGTACGCAGGCCGCCGGGCCGCGCCGTGCTGGGCCGCGCTGTGCCGGGCCGGGCGGCGGTTGCGAGAGGAGGCCGGAGGCGAGCGCGGGGCCGGCGGTGGGCCCGCAGGGCCGCTGGCAGCCCGCAGGGAGAGCGCGAGCCAGCAGCCGGGGCCTGGCCGGGCGTCCAGACAGGTGATCCGTGGCGCGGCGGCGGCCCCAGCCTCCCTCCGGAGTTCTTCTCGGGGGCCGATGCCCGCAAATATGCAGAATTACCGGCCGGGTCGCTCCTGAAGCCAGCGCTGGAGAACGAGCGCGGCGGCGGCCAGCACCGGGAACGCACCAAGGAAGAAGCCCAGCCCCCGCCCTCCGCCCCTTCCGTCCCCACCCCCTACCCGGCGGCCCAGGAGGCTCCCAGCGCGACGGGCGCGCACTCCGTTCCTCCTCCTCCTCCTGGCTGGCGCTGCCTGCCTCTCCGCACTCGCTGCTCGCGCCGGGCGCGCTCTGCCAGCTCCTTGCTCCCCGCGCCACCCTCCTCTGGGCCGCGCTCCCTAAGGGATGGTACTGAATTTCGCCGCCACAGGAGCCCGGCTGGAGCGCCCGCCCCGCGGCCTCGCCTCTCCGCCGAGCCGCCAGCGCCTCGGGACGCGATGAGGACCTGGGCTTGCCTGCTGCTACTCGGCTGCGGATACCTCGCCCATGCTCTGGCCGAGGTGGGTGCCGCCCCCGCGCCCAGTCTCTGCGCCGGCTCTCAGGCGCACACCCCCCGCGCCCGCCCGCCCGCCGGCTGGGACGCCACAGGCTCTGCAGAGAGCATTTTGGTTTCTGCTAGGGTGGTCGGTGTTTAAATTTTCCCAACTGGGTTCTATTTTCTGCCATGCCTAAGTGTGTGTGGGGAGTTTCCAGCGTGTTGCGTCGCTCTGCCTCGGGGGGAACCGGGGATCAGCGAGGTGGACGAGTGGGGAGAAACTTCGGGGGGCGCGGGGGCCTCTTCGGGGAAGGGGAGCTGGGGCTCTGCGGGCGCTGCAGCAGCGGGGTGTGGGGAGCGGGGAAGGGGGTGTGTGTGTGTGTGAGCCGGCGGAGCCTGGGGAGGACGGAAGGGCGCCCGATAAACAGGTAGGGGCGGCTGCTGCGGAAGCCTCTGGCCGGGAAAGGTGGGCAGCGCCGAGCCGCAGCCCCCAGTTCCCGGTGCCCAAGCCCGGCGGGGCGCAGGACCGGCGCAGTCCCGCCGGCTGGGTCCTGCTTACAGGTGGCTGAGCGAGGAGAGCTGGGGACGGGCCAGGCGCCCGCACCCTCCCACCGCGGCGTCCCCGCCCCCCCATCCCCATCCCTATCCCCATCCCCCGGACCTTTGCTGTGATGAATGACTTTCCACAGCCCCCGGCGTGGGAACTTAGTGCTTCAGGCTCCCCAGCGACCCCCGACTCTCCTTAAAAATCAGGAAGGGGAGTGGGGGAGGCCAGAGATGAGGGTGGTCTCTGCGGGCCCGGGAGAGCTGCGTGAGGTGGAAGTTTAACCCTCGCTCTCCCTGAAGGCTTCTCCCAGCCGCCCGCAGGCTGGATTTGGGCGTCTCGGTCGGCGCTAGGGCCGCGGCTGGGCCGGAGCCCGGGGTGGGGCGAGTGTGTGAGTGAATGTGTGTGCGCGCGTGTGTGTGCGTGTGTGTCTGCGCGCGCGCGCGTGTGTTTGTGAGACGGAGAGACCTCTCCGCGGCTTCGGCCCGGGATTCCGGGCGTGAAATTTAAGCCCTGTCTGGATTAAAGTGTGAGGGCTGCCGTGACTCTCGCCGATCCGTGACGCATTTTAACTTGATCTTTCTAGATGTTGATCTCACTCTTAAATCAGAAACTCCTGGCCCCCTAGCTGCCCCCAGATCGTCTGTAACTGACACCCCGGGCGGAGGGGCCGGAGTGCGGGGGCTTTTGTCTGAAAATGTGAAGCGGGGGGGACTTTCATTTTACCAAGGGCAGACCATGGATGGGGGTGGAGAATTCGTGGTCTTTTTCCAGCCCCACCCCCGGCTTCTGGTTCCAGGGCCGGGGCGAGGGCTCCGCGGGGTCTGGGGCCGGGGCTGCGGCCGGCGCTCGCGGGGTCTCCTCGGGCCCTGGGCCGCGGGCGCTGACCGTGTGGTTTCTGCTTGCAGGAAGCCGAGATCCCCCGCGAGGTGATCGAGAGGCTGGCGCACAGTCAGATCCACAGCATCCGGGACCTCCAGCGACTCCTGGAGATAGACTCCGTAGGTAAATCGCGCCCCTTCCCTTGGCGCGCGGGGAGGTGCGGGGCGGGCGGCCTGTGCGCCCGGTGCGCCCCGAGCTGGGGCCGGGCGGGGCGCCGCGCAGCGCACCGAAAGGTCAGAATCCAATCCCCTTCCCTAAGCGCCCAGGCAGATGAGTCAGGAGTTTCTCTTTCAGTCGCCACTTTCTCTCCCAGTCGCGGCCGAGGGCTGCTCGCTTGCCCGGGGATTGTTTTCGCCTAGAAGGAAAACGCCGCGTGTGTCACACAAAGTTCAGCCGCGGCGCCCTCGCCTGGTGTGCGGGCCCCCCGCCTGCCCTGGGGCCGGAGGAGCGTCGGGAGCACCCCCAGGCCCTGGGCGCAGAGCCCTGGTTAGTGCCCCGGGCGGACAGCCCGCGGAGCGAGGCCCCAAGGGCAGGCGCGCCTCCGGGACCCACGGGCGGGCGGAGTCGGTCCCCGGATCAGGGCCCGGCACCTTTGTAATCCCTGGGAGCTGGTGCCGCGTTTTTTGCCGCAGGGCTAGGCCTTTGTGGCTGCGGGAGACCGGTGTCTTTCTATGTTCACTACCTAATGAAAAGCCGGGCCTTGGACGCATCTGCTGCCTGGGGGCTATTTTTGTGTCTCACCCTCAGGCCCTGAGGCCGAGTCACTAAAGAAAACAGCTTATTTGCGAGCACAGAGTTTTGGAGCGAATGTCAGCTGCAGAGCTGGACTAGACCCGGGTTGGCAAGGGTTAAAGGGGCTTCTCACACCCGGGGGACCCCAGTGGACCACGTTGGGTGGGAGGGGCGAAGGTGTAGGGTGGCCGCCCGCCCCCTCAGGGCTAGATAGCCCCTTCCCAGAAGGCGAGGTCTTCCAGGTCCTTGTGGCGCCCTTTTCAAAATGCACACTTGGCGGGGGAACTCCAATCTGAGCTTTAACCAGGGAAATCCTCGTGTGGAAGAACTCGTTAGCTGGTTTCAAAAGGGGGCCTGCGATAAACTTGTTAAAAAGAGCAGCTAAAGGCAGCAGAACTGGAAGAAGTTACGTGAAATGAAGACTTTTCTCTCCCTGCAGAGGACTCTGGAAAAGGGGGGGTATGGGGGGATTAAGTGAAATCACATGGTCTAGTCATTTGGAAATTTGTACCTAATTATGGTGGTGGAGAGGCCTGAACTATTTTCGTTTCATGCCAAAACCATTTTCTAACAAGGCCGATGGTTTCTGTAGTTTCTTGACCCAGGAAATCCCTGGGCTGATCTTTATCGGGGGCGGTAGTGTTTCACTCCAGAGCACAGTTGGGCGGGGGGATTTTGATCAGGTCCCTCCATGGATAACTCTGGGGAGAAGGATTTGGCTCTGGTATGTGTGTGTAGGGGGAACACTTGCCTGAATCTCGCTGGTCTTGGATGGGTTTCGAAAAGTGGAGAGACTGCTTCCCGGAGAAGGTTTCAGGGCTATTTTTGGGGGGGGGGTGCTCGCAGATGAGGCTCCTCCTGGGACTGTCTTTGGAAGCCGCAGGGAAATGGGCCATTCACTTTCTGCTGGGACTATTCTTATTCTGGTCTTGGCAGCCCCGCCTCCCCCACCCCCACCCATTATCGCCTTTAGCTTTGCGGCTCCGTGGGGTTATGCTGATGGCATTCCTGACCGGGGGCTTCTAGGTCGTGGGGTCCAAACTGAAAACAACTAGGATGCCCCAAGCTAGTCCTCCCAGCCGGTTTCAAATTCTCCCTGCAGCCACGTCCTGGGAGCTCTTTCCTCCTGCCCCAGGGAATGACTAGAGCAGATCTCATCAGCCTTCACATCTCCGTGAGATGTTTTGGGGTCTGAATGGGATTCTCCTTGTGTCTGGGAGGCTGAATGTGGGGGTGGCATCTGCCTCCTCTCTCGCCCCCAGCCTTGCCCCTGGTGGGAGATCTTTTGTGACTCAGGGGGGTTGCCTTCATCCTTGTCCAGTCACCTCCCCAGGTCTGGCGGGAAACGGAACCAGAGGAACCCACAATCTCTGGCCTGAGGAACAGAGAGGCCTGGTTGCTTCTCCAGCTTGTAGGGGGTGTCTTTTCCTCACCTCCTGCTCTCTCATAGGGAGGGTTGTAAACTGCTTGTGGTCAGTTCTTGTGGGGTAAGCGTCCCTTCGGTTCCTGGACTCCCTTTTAGATCTAGAGGTGCGTCTGGTCTGTTACGGGCAGGGGACAGTGCAGGGCTCATGAGGAAGGGGCTGGGTGCTGGGAGAAACCCAATGTGACAACTTTCCCTTGGAATTCCTGTAGAACCCTTCCAGGCTGACATTCTTGGCTTTGGGTGCCTCTGAGGCCTATGCTGTAGGAAACAGAAAAGAGGCTTTCAGGAACCCCAGGTGTGCTCCCCAGCTATGCTGACTCCTCCCCCAAGTGGGTGGGGCTTTGTGACTGGCACTTGGCTCCTGCCAGCTTGCAGGCTGTGTCCCATTGTACAGTTGGGGACACTGAGCAAGGCACTGGCTGAGGTCTGGGCCGCTCCTTGGCTGTGGCTGGAGGAGCAGGGGCCCTGGGATTCCTCACCATCCTGCCAGAGCCGGAGCATTTTATTCAGAGGGTGTGCTGGAGTGAAGAGTGAAGCTTTTTCACCTGTGGCTTGTAGATCAGAAGCCAGCATGTGGTCTTTTAATGATAGGCAGCCAGCATTTAGGGCTTGTTTGTCCTGTGTGCAGGGGCAGCTGGGGAGCTTTGTTCACCTAAGCAGTCTGGCCTGGCACCGGGGGGTCATTGAGGGACCGATAACATAAATATCCCCCTCTCGGGCCAGTCGTGTCAGACCAGGACTGATGGTTGGAAGATTCTCCCCGTCCTGGAGTTGTCATTGGGACATCTGTGCCTAAAACACAAAAGGCAAAGCCTCCTGATTAACTGTTCCGGGAGCAGTTTTAGGAGTGATTCTTGCTGGCCAGGGCCGTGTTTGGTGAGCTGTGAGCGGCTGCTACAATCAGTGAGCGATGTCTCAGCCAGCGTAGCTCAGAAGGGTGGCTTTGGAAAGCATGGTCTGCTCTTGGCATCTTGAGCCAGGGGCAAAGGGACGGGAGCTATTCCTCCTCTGTCTGTCATCTCAAGAAATTTGCCAACTCAGGCTTTCAAGGGGTCAGTGAACTAGTAGGGGTGCTGTCTTCTCTGTTTATTAAGCCAGGGCTAGAGGCCTGTGGGGAATGGGGCCTGTGCACTGTGGACGCAGACCACGAAGGCTCCTTCGAGCCACTCCTCCTTGTCCTGTTATATTTCTCTGGGCCTCAGTTTCCTCAGTTGGAAAGAAGTGATAGCAGCCACCGCACACATAGACACTAACTCATTGGTAAAGCAGCTAATGCATAGGGGTTATTACTGAATTTTCTCCTTCGACTGGAGAGCGGACCAGTCGCTCTTTGGTTTGGCCATGGCAAGATGGCCACCACCAGGATATGACTCATAAATGTCACTTTTTTATGAAAAACAAAACAAAAAAAAACGCTGCTTGTAACGGTTGATGGGAAATTCTTACTGCGTGAGTAGTTCTGATCTTATTTTGGGTCTCAAAAAAAAATTAGTGGCATTGGAACATTGAGTCATTTTCAGTAAAAAGGTTCTGGGCAGGCTTCATCTTTGCCATTCACACCTTATGTGAGGTTTGCAGGTCTCGGGCGTCTTGGGGGCGTTGAGGAAGCTGAGATTTCTCCGGTTGGCTTTTGGACAGTCATGGGTGCCTCGGTGGGCTGGGGAGAGAGGCCTTGGGCTGCTTGTCCCGGACCTAGGAGGTGCAGAGCCCATTAGCCGTCTGTGCTGGTGACTGGGACGTCCTGAGCTTCCTAGGAGGGGTTGGGGAGATCTCTGTGCCTCTGGAACATCCTGGCTGTGAGGCTCACCGTCTCAACGCCTGTTTGCCCTTGGTTATATATTGGGGAGGCAGGATGGAGGGAGATGGGAAGAAACCCCTGAGCTGGTGTCAGGGGGCCAAGGCAAGGAGGCCCAGAGCAACCCACGGTGCCCAGGTTCGTGCAGTGTCCATGGGCAGGACTGTGGGTCCTCTTCCTGCTGCTGGAATCAGAGAGAGCTGAAACTCTCCCAGCCTGTCTGTCGTAGCCCTCAGTGCCTGTGACAGGGCGGGGGGGCGTGTGCACTGGTGGGGGTGGGGAATAGGGTTCTTGGTGCTGCTCCTGGGTCAGTGCTGGTCTTGGCTCTGGGCCCGTGCACCACCCACACCTGGCCGCCTCGCTGTAAACACGCCTGGCAGATTCAGGCTTCTCTCAACCCCTTTCGCAGGCTGCCTCCCTCTGTCAGGCCCCGGGGACTCCTCAGTGTAGGCTCCACGAGAGGCCACGTGCCCTGCTGTCTTTCCTTACGGCCACTGGCCCTAGAGTAGACTCATTTCAGAGAGGAGTGGGGTCTGGCCAACAGCCCAGTCTGGCTGCTTCCAGTGCCCCTTAAAAGTTAAGCCACTTCTTCAAGGAGCGCTTCAGCGACAGGGAGGGAGGGAGGCAGAAACCTAAGCTGCCTCTGCTTCTCCCTTGGTCCAGCCCCCAGACAGGGGTGGGGCCTGGCTTAGCCCTGCACCCCTCAGGGAGGTGGGGTGAGCCGGGCAGCCTTCGGCTTCTCCTGACCCTGAGAGGTACAGCCCTCACCTGGACTACCTGGGATGGGGTGCCATAGAGGAGACCACCTGCAGTCCCTTGGGGCCCTCAGCTTTGTCACAGGTCCCTGCATTTGGGGACCTCTGTGCTAATGGGGTGTTTTCTGTAGCTTCATATCCTGCATATCTGAAGAGCCCTGGTGGGAATAGAGGTTCTCCCAGGGGATCCCCTGCCTCTCGTAGCGGGGAAGGGGGGCTGTACTGCCCGATCCCTGTTCCCCAGTGGCTCCGAAAGCTGGTCTGTGTGACGTACGGCTGGACAGGCCCCGGGCTCAGCACACAGGCCTGGAGCAGTCACAGTGCTCTCCTTCTGCCTGCAGGGAGTGAGGATGCTTTGGACACCAGCTTGAGAGCTCACGGGGTCCATGCCATCAAGCATGCACCTGAGAAGCGGCCCCTGCCCATTCGAAGGAAGAGAAGTATTGGTGAGTCCAGGAGGCCGTTGTGGGCTGCGCAGGGCTGGGTGGGGAGGGGCTGCCCACTCTCCCAACTTTGTGGCCTCAGGCGAGCCACCCGTTTCCTCCTCCTTAAAATAGGCCTTGGCCCTGGTGCCTCTGGCTCTCTCCTCTCTGGAGACCTCCCTCCTTTGGGAGTGTCTCCTGCTCCAGCCTGCCTGCTCCTCCTGGAGTCCTAGTCTGGGCCAAGAGAACTTCCAGGGGAGACGAGCCATCATAAATTCCTTAAGTGCCCCATCTTGTTGGGGCCTGTCCCCAGGAGCCTTGCTGGAAACGTGGCTGTGCTTAATTTCCAGTTTGCGGTGTAAGCACTGTGCTCCTGCGTGCCCAGGGGCTGCCCCCTCCACCCACCCCCAGAGCCCTCACTGTACCCCGAGTGCCCTGCCCCATTCATGGCTGGCTCCAGTGCTCCTCCCAGGCATCCATTTGGGGGACATTTTCTCCCTTCTTACAGAGCAGCCCCATGCCCCTCCAACCCCCTGAGAAGGAACTAGCAGGTTTAGGAGGCCCTGGGCCAGTCCCTGATTTCTTGCCTGGGACAAGGTGAGGTCTGACACCCCAGTCCTGTGTCCTCTGGGGTCCCACCTGTTGGGGTGAGCCCTGGTGCTGTTCATGGCTGTGTGGTCCTGAGCAAGTGGACCCCCCTCTGTGAGCTGTGGTTTCCTCCAGGAAGATGGATTTTGTATCCTCCACCTTAAAGTGTGATGTGTGGGTGACTGGTCCCAAATGATACCAAGCAGGCCCTCCCAGGTGACATTTGCTGTGGGGGTTCTGCATTTTGCACCCTTTAGACAAGTCTTGAAGGCCAGAGCACCCCAGAAAGTGCTGTAAGATTTGCTGCTAAGTTCCCCTCTGCCCCCTCAGCCACTGGCCCCACCTGGCCTAAGTCCCCCTCTCCACCTCTCCCTGCTGGGCACTGGCCCCGCCTGGTCAGGTTCCTCCAGTCTGCAGATACAGGGCCAGGCTCCTCTGGTTGTGTGGTGCTCCCGCCCACCCAGCCTCTGAGCCTCTGCACCTCTGCTCCCAACTCGGCCTCTGCTGCCTGGGGAGAATCCTGGCCTGTGGCTCACCGTGGTTGCCCCCAAGGCCCAGCTGGAGCTGCCGAAGCCATGGGGTGGGGCAGTGGTCACAGAGGCCGGTGCCCATGCTGGGCCACACTGTGCTGGGTCACTGCTCACTGTGCCCCCGCCTTTGCAGAGGAAGCCGTCCCCGCTGTCTGCAAGACCAGGACGGTCATTTATGAGATTCCTCGGAGCCAGGTTGACCCCACGTCCGCCAACTTCCTGATTTGGCCCCCGTGTGTGGAGGTGAAGCGTTGCACCGGCTGCTGTAACACCAGCAGCGTCAAGTGTCAGCCCTCCCGCGTCCACCACCGCAGCGTTAAGGTGAGCCCTGCCCCACAGGCCCAAGGGCTGCCCCTACCAGGCAGCCACGGTCCCTCCTGGCAGGCCACAAACTGCTCTTGGCATGGCTGGTGGGGGGTGCACAGCTGTGCTCCCATCTCCCTGGCAGGTACACTGAGGCCCAGGGAGGAGAGGAGTGCCTGGGGGTGCAGGGAAAGGCTGGAGCTTCCACTCTGCTCTCTGGCGATGAGTCGGGCCTTCTTTTCATGCTCCAGACCACAGTTGGGGAGTTGTTTTGGGCCTTGCAGGGTGTCTAGCTGCTTAGCCAGAAGGTGTCTGGCATCTCTGGGTCCTGGGAGTCCTCTGCAGGCTCTTCAGTGGGGGACCATGGTGCATGGCAGGAGGGGTGGGGGGCATTCAAAGCCTGCATTGCCTCTTGAAGTGCCTGACCTGTGGGCGAGGTCCCCCCAGTTGCCCTGCTAAAGCAACCCAGTAGAAGAAGAGAGAGTGCTTGGGGTGGGCCCGAGTCCAGACTTCCCTCCGCGGAATCCCAGGGTGAGCCCCTCTTTCTTTAAGTAGTGGTGGTGCCTGGGTCTGTTCAGGCTGCTGTAGCAGAATTCCATCCACTAGGAGCTGATTAGCAACAAATGGATTTCTCAGCGTTCTGGAGGCTGAAAGTCCAAGATCAAGGCGCTGGCAGACTCTGTCTCTGCTATAGCCCTGTTTTCTGGGTTCATAGATGATGCCTTTGTGCTCTGCCCTCAGAGTGAGGGATGGGGTGAACACGCTCCCTAGGTTGCTTTATAAGGGCACTAATTCCATTCATGAAGGCTCCACTCCTAGGACTTGATCAGGCCAGGTGAGGTGGCTCACACCTGCAGTCCCAGCCACCATGGAAGGCTGAGGCTGGAGCATCGCTGAGTTCAAGACCAGCCTGGGTAACATGGCAAGACCCCCATCTCTACAAAAAATACAAAAATTAGCTGGGCGTAGTGGCACGTGCCTGTAGTCCCAGCTACTCTGGAGGCTGAAGTGGGAGGATCACTTGAGTCTGGGAGGCTGAGGCTGCAGTGATCTGTGATTCCAGCCTGAACAATAGAGCAAGACTCTCCCTTACAAAGAAAAAAAGGCCGGGTGGTAGGGCGCTTAATGGCTTCCCTGAAACACCCCGCCTCCTAATGCTATCCCCTAAAGCTGGGATTTTAGCGGAAGAATCCTGGGGGCACTCGCGTTCCGCCACAGCAGGGCCTTCCTCCCTGGGTTGCGCTGGGGGAGGAACAGCAGCCGGGTGAGCTTGCTGTAGGGTCCTGAGTTGTTGAGGTCCTGGGACAGGGCTGTCTGGCTGGGCCCCTTCTTGCTATATTCAGGGAAGTGTGCCCGGAGACCCACGGTTACAGCGTCTTGGGTGGGCTGGCTTTGACCTGTGTTTGCTCCTCTCTGGCCTCATTTTCCTCAGCTTTGCAGTGGGTCTGAGGCAGGTACTCGCCCTTCTGAGAGAGCCGAGGCTGCTGCTGTCCTGTTCGCAAGGGAGGTTCCCTGTGTCTGGGGTCAGTCCCTATGGAGACATCAGTCTCCTGTTTTTGGGACAGGATTGCAGGTGTCCTCTGGTTTCCGTGAAGCCTGGGGCTGGCATGTCCCCAGAGCTCCCATCTGGGAAGGGTGGGCTCTCATAGGGCTCCTCTCCCTGGAAACTGGCTTCAGTTGGGTTAAAGTGCTGTTAATGCTCCCACCTGGGCTGTGGGACCCATGAGTTTGATCAGCAGGTGCAGGTGGGCACAGGTGGGCGCAGCCCCCAGTCCAGGAGGCCATTGTTTTGACACAGAGCCATCTGGCTTGGTCTCAGCTGAGGATTCTGTTTTTTTTTTTTTTGAGACAGGTCTGGCTCTGTTGCCCAGGCTGGAATGTGGTGGTGCAATCATGGCTCACTGCAACTTCGGACTCCCAAGCTGAGACGATCCTCCCCACTAAGCCTCCCAAGTAGCTGGGACTACAGATGCATGCCACCATGCCTGGCTAATTTTTAAATTCTTTGTAGAGTCTGGGATCTCACGGTGTTGCCCAGCCTGGTCTGCCTGGTCTGGACTCCCTGGGCTCAAGTCAGCCAAGGATTTGGTGACGACTGAGCCTGCTCTTCCTGGAATATGCAGCCACTGAAATGATGTTTGAGGGTTTCAGTTTGAGGGCTACATTAGTAACCATTCTTTGACTTTAGAAAAGAATTATTTCACGTCCTCCCTGCCCCACTGTTGTGACTCCAGGCTCCGGAGGGAGATGGGGGGAGAGGGTTCTTTGTAAAGGACTTTGCAGCCAACTCTGGGCCGTTTCCTTGTCACATGACCAGGCACTTTAGACCCATAACTGGGACTTATCTTGGCCTCTGGGGACTTGGTCCTCCATGGTGCCCTAGGTATTGAGTAAGCAGATTCCACATCTTACTGCCCGGGATCTCCAAGGCCAAACACTCCCCTTACAAAGCCCCGTGTGTTTGTCTGGGGAACCCTTCTGTCCTCAGAGGATATTTACCACTGGGGGTCAGGGAAGGGAGGGGAGGGTAAGGGAGGGTTTAACTCGGGCCCCCAGGTCCAGGTGGCCCAGGCCCCCTGGACAGGAGCCTAGCACTGTACCCCCATCCTGTGTGCCTCTCTGGGGTGCAGACTCTGCCTTTCTGTGGGTCTCGGCATCCTCCCTGGTTGTATGTTGGAGGCCCTTGTGAAATCTGAGTCTGGAATACCTGTGGTCTTATTCTCATGAGGGATTCTCATGTCAGTTCTGGGTGTGGGGGGAGCCTTGGATGTGTGGGGAGAGGGTCTTAGCCCATGGGCTCAGCCTTGGGCAGCCCCCCGCCTTTCCCACCTTGCCTGTCGTGGGGTGAGGATAGGTGGGCCTGGCCCCACTGGGCAATGCTTCCTCCCTCCCCAGGCCCCCTGAGCAGGCTGGGTGGGGCGGAGAGCTCTCCAGCACCCTCCAGCCAGTGCAATGTCAGGGGTGAGAGCCAAATTTCCCCCTCTTGCCCCTGGCCCGGCAGTGGCTCCTGCTTTGCTCTGTGCGGTGTTGGAGCTGTGACCAGGGCTCTGCCTCTGGGTCTCATCTGCCAGAACAGGGTCCTGGTCAGCCCAAGAGAGAACTGGGTGTCCTAAGTCCTCGGGGCTGTGTCCTGCAGCAGAGCCGGGTGGCCTGGTTTCCACCTCCTCAGAACCAGCTCCCCAACATTCCCCCTTCTGGGAGGCGTCTTCTCCCTGCCCACCCATCTGAGGGTTGGAGGAAAACATCCAACTTCAGACACGGAGGGGCTCTGGCTGAGGGGACAAAGGTCAGAGGGAACAGGAGGCCCATTGTGGAGGCCGAGCCAGGAGGCTGGTCCTGCCATTTTGGGGATGGGGGTGGCTGTCAACCTGGCGAGAAGGAGATGGGCCCCAGGGGCTGGGACTTGGCGCCCGTGCGTGGGCGTGGGGTCAGCTGAGGTCATCAGAGTTGGGGCTGGCCGGGAGGGGCTCCGGCACTCTGTCCACCCAGGCTGGGTATGGCACCTCCTGCTTTCAGTTTTATGCCCTTCCTGTCAACATTCACAGGTCTCTTGTTAGAAGACAATAATGAGGCCAGGAGTGGTCACTGCCCAGCGCAGGCCCTGATGGGATCACCAGGATGAAACTGACCAGCAGCCCGGGGTAGAAATGGCTAGGGTTCCCAGCTGGGTGGGTGTCTCTTCGCACTCTGCCTGGTGTGGTCTGCGCTTGGTCCCTGGACACCTGACTCGTCTCCAGACCCAAGCCTTGGGGGTAGGACAGGAGTGTGGGTCTGGACGTGGACCATGGGGATGAGATACCGGCCAAGGACAGCAGGGGTCTGGCCTGGATGGAGCTGAGGCTTGAGGCCGTGTGCAGAGCAAAGGCAGAGCTTCATGGCTGTGACTCCAGGGGCGTCCACTGCGACTCGACCTGCCTGCCCTGGAGCTGCTGTGGTGTCAGGGATGGAGCTGGCTCTGAGCCCACCTTGCTGGGCCAGAGGCTTCCAGAAGATGTGTGCTCACCTGGTGTGAGGGATGGGCCTCTGCACCCTGGAACAGAGCAGTTGGGGTGTTCTGGGTGAGACGTTCCCAGCCACGTCTCTGTTCACTCTCTGGGTCTGGTGTAGTAGTCTCTAGATGGGCAGAGTGGGGGTACTCTTGAGCCAGGCTGGGCAGGGGCCTGTTACCCGAGCTTGAGGCCTGGGCATTGCTTCCATTCTTAGCGGACGTGGGGCGGTGCTGAAGGAGGTAGGATCTTCTTTTTCTTTTTGAGACAGAATCTCTCACTGTCACTCAGGCTGGAGTGCAGTGGCCTACTCTGGGCTCCCTGCAACCTTTACCTCCCGGTTGAAGTGATTCTCCTGTCTCAGCCTCCTGAGTAGCTGGGATTATAGGCACACACCACCACGCCTGGCTATTTTTTGTATTTTTTAGTAGGGACCAGGCTTCCCTGTGTTGGCCAGGCTGGTCTCGACCTCCTGACCTCAGGCAGTCTGCCCGCCTTGGCCTCCCAAAGTGCTGGGATTATAGGCACGAGCCACCAAACCCAGCTGGGATTTTCTTGACCCAAGTCAGCATCCAGATTGAGTAACATTCTGATTCTCTGTCCAGAGACCCCCGGCTGGGGCCATGGGGCCAGGGCTCTGCTCTTTTGGAGTCTAGGCTTCCTTTCCATGAAAAAGGTGAGAGGCAGCCCAGGCTAGGGATGGAGATTCAGTGCTGCGTGACCCTTGGCAAGGGGCTTACCACGTCTCTGCTGTGTGTTTTCATCTCTAAAATGGACCATGATGGTGTCCTCACAGGGTAGCTGTGAGGGTTACAGTGACGGGCACGTGTGGTCAGTCAGAATTCTTTCATGGCTAATACTTTGTCTTGGAGCTTTGAAAGGGTCAGGCCGTAACCTGGAGTTGGGGGTTCCCTCACAGGGAGTGGCCATCCCAACCCCTCCTCAGGGGGTCTCTGCAGGCTTGGGGCCTGCTCTGTAGTAGCAGGGATCAGCCTCCCAGGTCTAGAGGGATGACGGCATCTCTGGGTTATCATTCCAGGAGTGTTGAGGTGGGGTGGCTTATGTCCCAGATGAACTCAGCCTCGGGGATCGGAATGTCTGGTGTGATAAGGTACAGCACACATCTCTGGGATGGAAAAAGGGGGAGGGCCATCGGGACCCCCCACGACTTGGGCCCCAGCTTAGGGTCTGCGGGTCAGAGCAATGCCCCTGGGGGTCCTGAGGATATAATCGTCTCTGTTGTTTGGACTTGACCTTCTTTTATGGAGGAGGTTTTTGTGAGAATCCAATATTCATTATGTGTTCTTGGGAGAAAAATGTAGCTATTTCCTGGCCAGACAGAGGTGGCGGAACGGCCTGGAATCCTGGCATACTCAGAAACAGGTGCAATCATAAATCGCTGTTTGTTTTTGTTTGATAAAAACAGGCTTGTCTGAAGAGACAGTAGGCTCCCAGACGAGTGGCTGTGCTGTGTGCGTTTCACACAGTGCCCAGAGGGGCAGTGTTCCTGCTGTGTCCTGGGAGCCCACGCACCCTCGCTGCCGGCCGTCTCGAGTGTACGAGAGCGAGCCTGCCCCTCATTTGGGCATCTGGTGTCTGGCCAGACGGGCCGTCCCTGCTGAGCCAGGCCCCCGGTATCTGCCCTGCCGAGGGAACTAGGTGAGGCCGCTTGTTGACCAAAGAGGCTGTGCCACCCGCAGGGTCAGGGCTGGGAGCAGAACACGGTGCCCTGCCCAAGCCCATCCCCATGAGCCCAGATTTCAGAGCCCACCTGCCCCATGTTTCACCTGGCAGCCCCTGCAGAGATTGGGGTGGGTGGGAGCAGCAGAGTGTGGGTGCTTTGAGCTGGGGAGATGGCAGAATGTGAGGCTGGTGCTGTTCCACCTGCTGGGACCTGTGTCCAGGGCCTCCAGGGGAGGGGAGGAAGGCGCTTGGCCCCTGCAGAGGCAGGGGAGGCTGGGCCTGGTTTTGTGCGCTGGAATCCCTAGTTCCTTCCTACCTAGGCAGTTCTTGACTCACAGAGGGCCAAGGACATGCTTGGAGGGCTAGAGGTGGCTGAGGTTCAGGGTCGCCCTGCTCCTCCTCCTCCTGGGACTTTGCTGAAGTTCATCCTCAGGCTGGGCCTCTCCCAACCCAGGCCCTTAGTGGGAGGGTGACTAGACCCACTCTCTGCCTGTGGTGGTCAGTGCTTGGTCCCTGGACACCCGAGTCTTCTCCAGACCCAAGCCTGGGCGGTAGGACAGGAGCGTGGGCATGGACATGGACCATGGGGATGAGACGCCAGCCGAGGATGGCAGGGGTCTGGCCTGGATGGAGCTGAGGCCGGGTGCGGAGCGAAGGCGGAGCTTCATGGTCGTGACTCCAGGTAGGGGGTGGTACTGTACTGAGCTGGGGGACAGGGGCCCTGGGCCTGCAGGCATAGCCTCTGGCTGGCTCTGGAGCCAGGGAGTGGCCTTGGATTCGGGGCTGTGTGTTAGAATACATGCTGGTGGTAGCCCACTCCTGAAGGCTGGCTCTGTTCTAGGTTCTGGGGGCTTCTGTGTGTGTAGCCTCATTTGTTCCTCGCTGCAATCCCTGGGTGGGTGTGATCAGTTTCCCTTTTACAGATGGGAGGTGGAGGTGTCTGCACGGCCTGCAAAGTTCTCTCTCTGGAGGATTCTGTCCTGGGGAAAGGGGCAGATTGCTGAGGGAGTTGGTGGACTGGTCCAAGGCCTCCCGATTGGAACAGCCCCATCCAGGAAGCAGCGGTGCCCTGGCAGCTTTCTCTCACGCTTTGTGACGCAGTGAAACCTCCCAGGCCAGGTCGTGTTTCTGAGCTGGCTCTTGACCCCAGGCGCCCCACGCCCTGCACCTGTTGAGCTCATACTTGGCTGTCTGCTCACGCCCCAGGCAGTCCAGACCACTTCACACGCCTGCAGGCACCCTTTGCACTGTGGGTTAATGATTAACTCAGTAACTCAGCCTCGGACAGGCCTGGTCCCCAGAGGGGCTGGCTTACTTTCGGAGCCTACCTGGTCCCAGGGTGCAGAGCTGACCTTCTCATGGGGGGGGCCTGTTGATGACCCCCAGTCTCCAGAGGTCCCTTCCTCTGAAGAAGGGTGGGAAACATTCCCCTCCTCCTGACAGCCTGGGAAGCAGCGCCACTAGGCTGGGGGTGTCTGGCCCCTGGCTGGGGTCTCCTCATTCACCTGGCGGCGTGCATTCCCCCACCTCCCCGTGCTCAGAGGGTGACCCGGCCTCTGTTTCCTTTCTAGCCTCTGTTTCCCCATGAACAGTGAGGGGTGAAGTGGGTGATCTATAGGGGCTGATCTTGGACTTAGACCCTGCGTGGGCACAGATGGAGCTGGGTGCCTGGTTCCCCAGAGCCTGGGAGGGCAGGAAGGTGGTGGCTGTTCCCTGGCATGTGCACCAGGGGGCAGACGAGACAACCTAGCAGACAAGCCTAGCAGGGCTTGCCTGTGCCTCAGTTTCTTTTTCTGTAAATGGAGGTGCCAGTCCTGCCTCCTTATCGGGTGGTTGGGGGGATTGAATGAATGCTGGGGTTTGGGCTGGGAGAGCCAATACTCTACCCCCCTGGTTCCTGGCCATGCATTAGGGGTCTGCTGATGCCAGGAGTGTGTGTGCGTGCACACTGTGTGTGTGTAGTAGGAGTCCCATGATGGGGCACATGTATACATTATGCATGCATGAATGTGTGTGGGGTGGAGATGCATTCCCGTGACGGGGCCTGTGTGTGCATTACACACGTGTATATGTGTGTGTGGGGTGGAGATGCATTCCCGTGAGAGGGCCTGTGTGTGCATTATACATGTATATACGTGTGTGTGGGGTGGAGTTGCATTCCCGTGACGGGGCCTGTGTGTGCATGATATGTGTGTGTATGTGTGTGTGAGTGATTTCTCGCTGCCCTTCTTGAACGCCTGAAGTTCCCCTCTCTGGACACTGGACTGGGCCATTGTCTGTCTGCAGCTCCGCAGGAAGGGGCTGTGGAGTCAGGACCCCCATGTTGTGGTTCTGTTCCTGGAGAATTGACAGCCGGTGTGGCTGGCAGACAGGCAGAGTCCAGTCGGAAGAGGGGCGCCCAGCTGAGGTTTGGTTTGCGTTTGAGCTCTCTATGCCTGGCAGCCATGGCCAGCCAGCCTGTGCTGCTCCTGGGTCGCCTTGTGCAACCTTGGTGACAGCCCAGAGTCCCTGGCTCAGGTTTCCCAGGTCAGGCCTTTCTGAGCCCAAGGAGAGCCTCAGACCTGGGGGAACCATGAGGGGACCCTGGGTGTGGGTCTGCTGGCCCTGCTGCCTGGGGGCTGGTGGGGAGGTGGGGCCCTCATCAGGCCAGCAGCTGGGGTTATCAACTGGACTCTCAAGTCCACAGCAACCCCGAGCTAGGATACAGCTGCAAGCCCCGTTGCTGGGCCACAGCTTCAACATTTTTTCTTTTTCTTTTTTTCCATTAATAGAGACAGGTTCTTGCTGTTGCCCAGGCTGGAGTACACTGGTGTGATCACAGCTCATTGCAGCCTCAAACTCCTGGGCTCAAGCAATCCTCCCACCTCAGCCACCCCAGTAGGCTGGGACTACAGGTGCCACCATGGCTGACTAATTTTTAAATCGTTTTTAGAGACAGGGTCTTACTATGTTGCCCAGGCTGGTCTCGAACTCCTGGAGTTAAGTGATCCTCCCATCCTGGCCCTCTAAAGTGCTGGGATTATAGGCATGAGCCACCGTGCCCGGCCTGGCTTTTAAAATTTGTTTAATAACAAAGTGAGCATTTGAAAACATTTCCCAACTGCATATCCACATACAAGCAAACACTTTCTCTGGCCACTTGGGTCCCAGAACTCCCAAACTTCCATACCTTGGCTGTGTGTGTCTCCTTTAGAGCCCCAGGCATATGTGAAACTTTGGGTTTATTTTAAACAAAAATAGGACAAAAATATCATGCTCCAACACCAGGCATGGTGGCTCTCGCATGAAATTACAGCACTTCGGGAGGCTGAGGCAGGAAGATCACTTGAGTCCAGAAGTTCAAGACCAACCTGGGCAACATAAATGAGATCCCATCTCTACCAAAAAAATATTTACAATTAGCTGGGCATGGTGGCTTGTGATATAGGTGGGAGGCTGAGGTGGAAGGATCACTTGAGCCCAAGAATTCAAGGCTGCAGATAGCTATGATTGGCCTGGGTGACAGAGTGAGAGCCTATTCAAAAAAACTAAAACACACACACACACACACACACACACACACACACACACACACACTTGCACTGCAGCTTGTAATTTTCTCACCTGCTGCTCCTGCATGCCCCACGATAAGGCAGCGTTCCTCGGAGGGGGTCAGGGGTCAGGCTGCTTTCTCCTCCCTGCCGGCCTGTCCCTGGCTCCCAGTGTGTCATGTCATCTGAAGCTCCACACGGGCGTTCATGGCTGGGCTCTGTTCTCTCGGGCAGGTGGCCAAGGTGGAATACGTCAGGAAGAAGCCAAAATTAAAAGAAGTCCAGGTGAGGTTAGAGGAGCATTTGGAGTGCGCCTGTGCGACCACCAGCCTGAATCCGGATTATCGGGAAGAGGACACGGGTGAGTGGCTGCCTTCATCAGCATCTATGTTGGAGAACGGGTCCTTGGAACCTTGCTTTTGGGGTGTTAGGTGGCCCCTGGAGCACGATGCTTGCTGCTGTGAGCATCTGGGCTGCTGTTGAGGGATCGTTGGCTGGCTCCCAGGCTAGACGTCTGCTGGGGAGGCAGATTCCTGGCCTGCACGTGTCCGGCAGGGAGGGTGGTTCAAGCTGCAGCATTGGCGGGAGATGTTCAGGCCTCACTGAGTGGGGCTGCGAGTGCATGAGATGCCCGACTCATCGGTGGGCTGCAGGACTGAGCTGAGAAGAGTCTGCAGAAGGGCCCCTGCCGGGGTGGGCAGGAGGAACAGCTTTGAGGACTACAGCCGCGCTGGCTGGCTGGGGTCTCTTTCACCCCGATGGGCGGACTCCACCTAGGAGCAGAGTGGCCTCTGTGCCCTGCTGTGTTGGAGCCCCGGGAGCACGAGGGGACTCAGAAGTTTCTCCATGCCTGGGTGCTGGTGTTCTCTTCTGGAAAGATAAAGAAAAGCCTTAGGTTATTTGTTGCTACGGTTCTTCACCCTGATGGCCGTCCCTCAGTCCACTCATCGCCCTGCCCTTTTGTTAACAGGAAGGCCTAGGGAGTCAGGTAAAAAACGGAAAAGAAAAAGGTTAAAACCCACCTAAAGCAGCCAACCAGGTAGGAGCTGTCCGCCAGACACGCTGAGTCCTGCAGGGCGGGGAGGTGCGACCAACTGATCACACCAGCGAATCACGCTTCCTGTTTCGCCGGGTGCGGCGGGGACGTGGCCCTGATTGGCCTTGATGGTGTCTGCTGGGCTTGGGTCTCCTCGCTCCCCGTCCGTTCCTGCCTCACAGAACGCCCTGGCCCGCGGCTCAGTCCTGCGGCCCAGTCCTGCTCGGGAGCCTGCCTCTAGCTCTGTCTTCTCTTTGTCATTGATCGGGGATGCAGGAGCATTGTATACACGAATGGAACAGGCTGGACAATCTGAGCAGCGGTGGGACATGGGACAGCTCTGACCACTTGGCCTCTCTGGGATCACCCACCCCATTTGACAGATGAAAAAACTGAGGCTTAACTGAGATTACAGGCAAGGACTGCTGGAGGCTGAATAGATCTGGAAATCCTTTATAAACATGCAGGGCTGTTGGCTACTGTGTCGGCAATTGCATTTGGCTGCTAGTAACACCAGATTGCACAGGGATCGAGATAAGGTTGAGCTTCGTGACACTCATCTAAAGGTGGGATTGCAGAGCAGGGAGGGTAGTCCTGAGGTACCATCGGGGTCCCTCTTCTGTCTGGCTGATGGCATCCATCCTCAGTTGCGTGGTGGCCCAAGGTGGCTGCTAAAGCTCCAGAAATCACATCTGTGCTCCAGGATGGAAGAAGGAGTGAGGTGGGAAAGGGCAAAATAACACCTTAGACAGCTATCCTGGAAATCCCTCCCAGTGACTTTTGTGTTTTTCTGGGCTGCCATCCTTCCACTGCAAGGGAGCTTGGGAAACAGTCTCCTATCAAGACACGTTGCTTCCCAGGTGGAAATGGGACCTAGGCAGCTACCGTCATCATGGAGGAGGTGGTTTCAAGCTTTCCTGGTCCTTGGCATTGGCCCGCCTGGCTTGGGAAAGTTGGAGCCCTGTCTGGCCTGGTTCCTCCTCCCGGCACATGGGGCTCCATGGCAGCCAAAACAAGTAGTTTCTTTAGAAGAGACGAGGTTCTCAGAGAGAGGGTGTCTGAGAACCCTGGCTCCTGTTCGCAATGTGGGACCTGGGCCTGTGGGTGAAGTCCATTTGTGAGGAGCCTCTTGGGAGGAAACTGTCCATTTGGGTGGGTCTTTGAAGCAGTCCAGAACAGCTGGTCAGCCTTGATTTTGTTTGCCCAAAGCGTGTTGTGGCGGGTGGCTTTGTGCCTGCTTGCGGGTTCTGTTTCTCCAGAGCATTAGGCTCTGGCCTCCATGGGCCTGCTGGTGACAGACCCCATGGTGAGAGGCTGGTACTCCTGTTTAATCATGCCTGGCTGGCACTTACTCAGCCTGTAGGCGGCACACGTGTTGGAGTGTGCAATGGAGGGGCCACATAGGATGGGGAAGAGTTCTTAAAGAATCAGCATAGGTCTGCCTAGTTTGCAGACTCTTCTGTCTGGCTGGTGGTCTCCATCTCAGGGTGGTTTGGTGGCCCAAGGTGGCTGCCGGAGCTCCAGAAATCACATCTAGGCCCTAGGCTGTAAGAAAGAAAGTCAGGGAGAAGGGCAAATGAACCATTCTTGGCCTCAGTTTTCCCCATCTGTACAATGGGAGAATGGGGCTGGGTCTCTAGACATGTTCTGTGAGATGCTGTGAGCCTAATCCCAATTCCGGTCAGGGTACTGCAACATGGCTAATGTTGGCAAATGTGATTCTGGAAATTTCATGAAAACTTCAAATCCCTGTGTATCCCTGATTGGGTTAAATGTTTTCACCCTATTTGCATCCTACACAGCCATGTGTGTGCTGGGTGGTTCACTTGGTCGGTGGTCTCAGTGTCTGTCTCTCCCGTCTTCCTGCAGATGTGAGGTGAGGATGAGCCGCAGCCCTTTCCTGGGACATGGATGTACATGGCGTGTTACATTCCTGAACCTACTATGTACGGTGCTTTATTGCCAGTGTGTGGTCTTTGTTCTCCTCCGTGAAAAACTGTGTCCGAGAACACTCTGGAGAACAAAGAGACAGCGCACATTTGTTTAATGTGACATCAAAGCAAGTATTGTAGCACTCGGTGAAGCAGTAAGAAGCTTCCTTGTCAAAAAGAGAGAGAGAGAAAACAAAACCACAAAACATGACAAAAACAAAATGGACTCACAAAAATATCTAAACTCGACGGGATGGAGGGTCGCTCCTGCAGGATGGAAGTGCAGAGATCTCAGCAGACTGGATTTCTGTCTGGGTGGTCACAGGTGCTTTTCTGCCGAGGATGCAGAGCCTGCTTTGGGAATGACTCCAGAGGGATGCTGGCGGGCTCTGCAGGGGCACACAGAAAGCAGGAATGTCTCGGAAACTGCCACGCGAACTTTAGAAACCACACCTCCTCGCTGTAGTATTTAAGCCCATACAGAAACCTTCCTGAGAGCCTTAAGTGGATTTTTTTTTTTTTTTACACCATAAAGTGATTATTAAGCTTTCCTTTTTACTCTTTGCCTAGCTTTTTTTTTTTTTTTTAATTATCTCTTGGATGACATTTACACCGATAACACACAGGCTGCTGTAACTGTCAGGACAGTGCGACGGTATTTTTCCTAGCAAGATGCAAACTAATGAGATGTATTAAAATAAACATGGTATACCTACCTATGCATCATTTCCTAAATGTTTCTGGCTTTGTGTTTCTCCCTTACCCTGCTTTATTTTTAATTTAAGCCATTTGGAAAGAACTATGCGTCAACCAATCGTATGCCGTCCCTGCGGCACCTGCCCTAAAGCCCCTGTTTGTGGCTGAGTGACACCTTGTTCCCCGCAGCGCTCACCTAGAATGCTGTGCTCCCACATGGCACGTGCGATGCATTACCACTTCTGTGTTGTCGATGTGCCCTGGTGCCGTGGTGGCAGTCACTCCCTCTGCTGCCAGTGTTTGGACAGAACCCAAATTCTTTATTTTTGGTAATATATTGTGCTTTATGTGTATTAACAGAAATGTGTGTGTGTGGTTTGTTTTTTTTGTAAAGGTGAAGTTTGTATGTTTACCTAATATTACCTGTTTTATATACCTGAGAACCTGCTATGTTCTTTTTTTGTTGATCCAAAATTAAAAAATACCACCAACAAAACCCATGCACATGAGAAGCATTTTGTGGTACGGTTTTCTAGCACCGAGTCTAGACCCCGGTTGCCAGGTCACACGGTTCTGTGTTGGGTGGAAATGGAGGTCTGCGTTTTCTGGGCGGGGTCCCTGGACCTGCCTCCATGGTAGGCACCTGTGGGATGCCCGCCTGCCTTGGACTTCAGCACCTACAGGGATTAGGCCAAGGGCATCCTTCAGGCTCCACTCCCCGGAGCAGATGAGCCAGTTCACAGCGTCAGGGCAGCCAGAAGACCATGAAGAATTTCATCCAAGAAGGGAACCCACCTGACCTTGTGTGTCCATGTGCAGTGCCCACCATACTCTGCCCGGGCTGCCCCCTCCACCACCTCCAGGCCTACAAGACAGACTATTGAGGTTGCTTTCAATCTTGACCCCACATTCTCTGAGGACCATCTGTGGACCCGTGGCCGGTGTCTGTTGTCCATGTGCTGATGGAAAGTTCTTACGAAGGATTGTCTTCAACAGCTCATCTTCATGGTGCTGTTTTCATCCTCATCAGGGCAGCCTGGAGGTTGGAGGGGAAGCTCAGGGCCAGGCAGTTGTACCCTGGTTTCCGTTCCTTGGACGCCTGCTGGGGCCCTGCCTAGGCCTGTGGGCTGCTGTCCAGCTCCACACTGGTCACAGCACCTTGCCCAGGAATGTGCTTTGGACGTGACCTGTGACAATATAACATGTATTTGTTTCTGTGAGATGCTGGTGACAATGCTCCGTTTTTCCTTTTTGTGTAAAGTCGTCTGGGGTAATGCTGTGTCCATTAAAGCGATGGGGCAGAAAGGCCAGGTGTGCTGTTGGGGAAGCAAGAATTCTGTTAAGAATTCCAAAGGTCTCGAGTCCAGGGGTGCAAAGGTAGCAGTGGAGGTGGGAACTCATGCCTCCTTCCTTTCCTCTCTCCTTTCTCCTTCTCTCCCTCTCTGCTTCCCTCCTTTCCTCCCTCTTTGGTTCATTCATGCAGGTGAGGGCCCTGGTGCCAGCCCCTCCTGCCCCCGCATGCAAAGAGCCCTGGGGAGGGGCAGGTAGGATGGAGGCCACTCCAGCCAGGAAGGGCTGCAGCTCGGAGGAGGCTGTGGTCTGAGGCTGGATCCTTTCTGAGCCAGGATCCACCCACATGGGCCTGCAGCCTTTGTTTCGGCTCTGCCCTGCATTCCCAGCATTTCTGCTCCTGCCTGGGCCCCCTCCCAGCCCCAGCCCTGGGCTTCACCTGGATCGAGGCCCAGGAAGACTGCTTTCTGCCCAGGGTCAGCTCTTCATGTCTTGTGAGCTCTGTGACCTTGACCGAGGGGCCTCTGTCCACATCTTGGCGTGCACATCTGTGAAATGGAGCTGCAGCTCAGACAGGGTGAGGATATCATGCCATTGACATGCCTGGTATGGGATTTGTCTGCTGCCTTCTCCTGCTGGCACATCACTCCAGCCTGTAGTATTTCTTGGCCCCAGCATTGTAAAGGACACAGCCCTTGGCTGCAGGGATTGCTGAGTGTTCATGGTGCCGCCTGTTGAAAGGAGGTTTCTGCACCTGCCTGGACAGTTGAGTGCACCTGGTCACCCTGTGCCCTTGCCAGGTGTCATGAGAGCTGGGGCCAGCCTTTGCTGGGCTCCTCCTTTAGCTTGGGAGCGTTTCCTTTTCTTCACGCAGGCCTCCGCGTCCTTGCTGTGGAGGGGGTTGGACCTGGCTGGGAGGGTCGCGGCTGCCAGTGGTCTCCAGCCCTGGGACCCTACAGCTGTCTTGGGATTCCCAGTGGCAGGGGAGTCTGAGGCCCAAGGCCAGGCAGGTGTGGGTCTCTGCCTTGGTCCTGAACACAGAGCAGTCCCTGGGCTGGGCCAGGCTCAGAGACCCAGCTCTGGAGAGAGGCTCTCCTGGTTTATGCCCTCTGGCAGGGCGCAAGAAGCCATGATCCTCCCCGGGGCTCCTTGGTTTTTTTGAGCTTTGCACTCAGCCACGGGTTCCTCCAAGGGTTCTGGGGGTGGGAACTTGAGTGCGTGGCTCCTATTTTAAAGATGAGGGAGCTGTGCCCCTAGTATGCCCTGAATGCCTGGGGGGCCCCAAGCAGAAGGGTCGCAGGACCTATGCTGTGGCTGAGTATCCAGGGGCCCTCCTGTCTCCTGGACCTTGACTCTGCCCTGCCCCAGGTGTGAGCTGGGCCGGTGCTCAGCCTGCATCTATCAACAAAGGGCCAAGATTCACTGAGAGGTTTGCTTCTGCATGCTCCCTGTTAACGGGCTCAGGAAGGGCCAAGATGCAGACCCCAGGAAAGGCACGGCCTCCAGGTCCAGAAGGAAGAGCAGGGATTTGAACTGAAGTGGCAGGGCTCACAGAACTCCCTCAGCCACACACAGAGTCCTATACCCTCACAGAACCCCCTATCCCCTCACGGATGCCCCATCCCTTCACGGATCCCGCATCCCTTCACAGATCCCACGTCCCTTCACAAATCCCCCATCTCCTCACAGATCCCCCATCCCCTCACAGATCGCCCATCCTTTCACAGATCGCCCATCCCTTCACAGATCCCCCATCCACTGACAGATCCCCCATCCACTGACAGATCCCCCATCCCCTGACAGATCCCCCATCCCCTCACAGATCCCCCATCCC